GGACATGCTGCGGAGCATCTACAACCAGGAGTTCCGGGGCAGGTGAGAGCCCTCGGCCAGACCCAGGCAGCATCGCCTGGGACGGTCTCCCCAGCCAGCATCATCCATTCCCCTGGCCAGCATCACCGGTCCCTGGCCAGGGTCACTGGACCCTGGCCAGCATTGCTGGGGCTTCACGTCGGGTGTCAAGCGAGCTCCGGCCAGGAGCTGGGTGTGAGGGTAGCACTGGGGAGCTGGTGGGGGCTTCGGGGGCTCTCCTTCATCACCTGCTGGGGTGGGATAGAGGAGCATGCACTTTCCGAGCAGTGAGGACCACCTGGACCAGTTAAACTCAAACACAGGGGCTCCGCTCTCTCCAGGAACAGAGAAAACAGAGCAGCATTTCTGGAACAGCCCGTGTCCCACTGGGCTGCGGATGCAGTGAAAGGCAGCCCTGCCTCTCTGGACACCAGGCCCGCGTGCCCCCAAGCCCCTCCATCTCGCCACAGCCCTGCTGGGATGTTCCTTGGCTGCAGGGACCCCCTGGCAACCGCCCGGGCACAGTCTCAGACACCCGCTGCCTGCCACACTCCCTGCCTCACCACAGTGACACCGGTCACGCTGGCCCTGGGCAATGTCACTGCTGTTAATCATTGGCAAAGCCGGGGTTCAGCTCACTGCAGGCTGCAGGACATGCCCCAGGGTGCGGGAGGAGGTGCCTGGGGAGGCATCGCTGTAGGGAGTGCTGTGGCCGTGCCTTGGAGGAGCCCTCATCTGCGCCGGCTCAGCCCCTGAGGGACCTGGGGACAGGAACGAGTCCCTGCCCCACTGCCACCTGCATGCTGGCAGGGACAGGGACTGCATGGCCAGACAGCAATGCCGTGGCACAGCTGGAATGGCCATGGCACAGCTGTAACAGCCATACCATAGCATGGAGTTCCTGGAGTGTCCTGCAGGGATGTAAGATTTGCATGAACCAGTAAAAAGCCCCAGTCCTTCTCCCTCTCCTGGTGCAGAGAGAAGTCACCAGAGTGCCCCTCACCCCAGCCTCAGTGCCCTGCTTCACCGTCCCTTCCTGCTCACCTCCTCACAGCTGCCTGTGCCCCTGGCAGCCCAGCCATGCTCTGTCCCACGCAGAAACCTCTCTCCCTTGTCTGTGCAGGACTGATACAAAAACACCCAACTTCTCCTACATCTTGTACGCGCTGAGGGTGACCCACCGGGCGCAGGTGCATGGGGAGTCAGTGCGCTTCAAGAAGGTGAGGGAGGCCCTGGGTTGGGGCAGCGCAGCGGCTCCTGCGCCCACCAGGACCAGCTCTGCGGGAGCCCCCAGCCATGGCAGGACCCCAGGGCCACACTGATGCTGGCTGTTCCTCACAGGAGAAGAGGCGTGTGGTAGTGGCAGACCAGTACCGGAGACCCAGGGTGAATGCAGAGGCATTGGCGTCTGCATCTGCCTCAGGGCAGCAGCCCAGCTCCAGTCCTCAAGTGCCCCAGAGCCATGCCAAGAAGTGGTATGACTGGCAGCACCCTGCCCACACCTGCCCCAGCACGGCCCCGGGGATCCCTCACCCCGGCTGGGAAAGCCTGACCCTCCCTTCCCGCAGGGCTGAGTTCATCCGTGGGAAGCACGGGGTAGACATCGTCTCGGAGCACGACCAGGGCAACGGGCACATCCGCTTCCCGGTGGTGCTCAGCGAGCCCCGGACGGTCACTGTCCTGGTGCAGAACCATGGGGTGGAGGCCGTGACACTGCGGCAGTGCCAGCCACAGCAGCAGTCGCGGGAACTCTCCTTCGCGGACGAGCAAGGGGCGACACAGGGCCAATCCCTGCTGCTGCACCCAGGTGGGGCCCTGTCCCCTGCCCCGTGCCCTGACCCACCAGAGGAGATGCAGGACGCAGCTCTCGCCTCTTTGCCTCGCAGGCGGCACGTACCCCATCCAGGTGCGGTGCCTGACCACCCGCAATGGGTGCTTCCGTGCCGTGGTGGTCTTCAAGTTCACCAAGGAGCCGGATGAGCCCTTCAGCATCTGGCGCCACGTTGCTGCCATCGCTGAGAGCCAGCTGGCCAAGGACCTGGGGCCCTCAGCACCTTTCCAGCCTTACCAGGCCAGCCTCCAGCGCCCTGTCACCGTCATCACCGAGGATGGCATCCCCCCTGACAGGTACATGGCGGGGTCACCTGCTGCCATCCTGCGTGGAGGGCCCTGGCCTGTTCTCTGGCTGGGACAAGGCTCAGCTCCTTGGGACCCAGCTGTCCGGCACCCTGGGACAGTGCTTCATCCCCATGCGTGGCTGGTGATGGCGGGGCTGGGGACACCCTGCTTGCCGGGGCCACAGGTGGTTGCAGCCCGGGGGGAACACAGCCCTGCAGTCCCTGTGGCACCGCTGTCCCCTCTGCACAGCTCCCTGAAAAATGAACTGGAAAGGGAAATCCCTCTGGGCACCTACCAGTACCCAAAGAGCCTCAAGGACACGATCCTGCTCGGACCCAATGCCCGTGCCAGCTCCAGCTGGGCTGCCATGCGGTGAGTGCTGAGGGATGGGGGCAATGCCACCCGGCCCTGCACCTCCCACCCGCTGCACCTTGGTTGAGGTGTCCCTGGGGCATGGTGACATCTCTGCTGCCCGCAGGTCGCTGCTGGAGGCCCCCCTGCTTGCTGAGAACTACCAGGAGAAGTTCCAGCTGCTGCTGCACCTGGAGGAGATCCAGATGGAGGTGGACATCCGGCGCTACGACATGCAGGACGTGCCCATGGTGCAGGACAGGGCGCTGCTGGTCCTCAACGTGCGTAGGGGGAGGCGGGGGGGCGGGAGGGGTGCC